TTAGGAAAAGCACCGAAGACAGAAAAAGAAAGTGCTTCGGGTGATTCGAGAAGTGGACATTGAGAATTTCTGGAATTGCTGGGGGTTGAGGTAAATTTTTCAGTGTTGTTATAACGGTGATTTTGATAATAATTCTGAGTTTAGTACGAGTTAATGATATATTATCATCGCCAGTATTACAGTAGTCATTGTTGCCTTTTATCATACGTTTTATAACAATCATTTTATGATTATTTATATGATGACTGATAGAAGATATATGATAAATATTCAATTCATTCAATTTAATTGGATTTTTTGAGGGGTTTATATTGCGTTTTTCTTAAGAAATCGTTTATTGCTATTATTTGAGTGTGCAGAGGAGATGGTTATTCGTAATAAGAACGCCACATTAGTGGTGTTGGGTGATATCGGACGAAGTCCTCGAATGTGCTATCATGCAAAATCGCTTGCTGACAAAAACTATCGAGTGCAAATTGTTGGTTATGCGGATCATTTACCACATCCGACGATTAGCGAACATCCCAACATTCGGTTCGTTGGTTTTGCATTCAAATTTTACCGAAATTCTTTGTTTTTTGTGAAGTTTTCTGATCATAAAATTCATTTTTCAAATTCTATTGTATATGCTAAACGTTTGGATTGAACAGAGAATGACTATTATATCGGGCGAGAAGTTCAAGTTGTATGAGTAGATGATATGAATGGAGTATTTTCAGTATAATTGCGCTACGACCTCCACCAGCATCCCTCAATAATCTACGGCCCGCGTTCGGTCTTTTCTTGAAGTTCTTCTGGACGTTGGCCACACTTTTGTTTGCACTGTTTTTCCGTATCGACTGGCCACTTCTTATCTTGATGCAAAATCCACCCGGTGTTCCGTGCATGTTGGCGTGCTGGATTGTGGGTTGTTTTCGTTGATTTGTATTTTTGCTGCGCAAGAAATTTCGGAATGGTACATTACCATTGGTTGTTAGAAGTGATGATTTGGTAATAATGCAGAGTCAATTATTATTCGATCCGACAGATTAAACGGAAAGAGCGTTTAATTTGTCGGAAATGATGCCTGTGATACTGAATTTTTCACTTGCTTCAATCGCCCATTCAAACGTGAGAAATTGTTTGGAATT